CCATACTGTCAGCCCATGGCAGCACATTCCCATGCCGTCCACATGACTCCCGCCCTCAGATTATCCCAATTGCGGTATTGTTAGTAATCATGCAAACCAGGGAGAACGACGCAGGGAACCTCGACCATCGGCAGTAGTGAGAACTGTTGGAATCCGGGGAAAATGATCAATCCGGAGTCAGAGCTGATGGCGTGTAATCGAGGCGAAATTTGTCCAATCTCCCAATGGTCATGGGTTCCCGTCCCTTCCGTCGTTTTTCATCATTCTCCCCTTTCCTTAATTCTATTGTCGGAAATAGTAAATCAACTGTAAGTTCTCCAAAATTAAATTCCGAGATAATTTAAATAAATGGCCGAATTACTTTTGTTTCTTTTCTCTTTTACCACTTTTAATATTTTTCTATGTTTTTAATTTCATTGCCAGGAACATAAAATAGCAAGAGTATTCCCCCTTGAATTAAATGCCGTAAAAAAATAAAAAAATTAAGGGATATTATGTTTTTCCCTTCTCCCCTACTGGTCGTAATCCCTTTTCCCCATTTTTAATTGTGGTACTAAAATAGACGAAAATTTGAGGCCCCATTTCGGCCCCGGTCGTATGCCGCAAAAAATGTGGCTGCGAGGTCAGTTCCCGCGATGCCTCTCCGCGGCAAGCCAATCCGGGTCTAACCCTCTGAACGGTCAGAAATGACGGTCCGTTGATGTGCCGAGTGCGACCACCCATCTCGCCATCTTTGAGCGTTACCCGTAAGGTTCAGCGCGCCCAAAATCAAGGGCGCCCTGAGCTCCCCTAATCTCCGCTGCCTGCTCTAACAAGAGTACCGTCAAAACTCAGACTCGTCTTTACGCCTAAGTCCCAAACCCGTAGATTTCAGGCGGCGCACTGCTTGTGGCCGCCTGACAACGGTATTGGTGCGGTGTTGGAACAGTGTCACGAGGTTGGTTGGCATCCGGTTGAGTATTTCTCCCAAAGGTGCCTCTCGTCAACACTCTCGACGACGCTAGGAAGAAAGAGCTACTCGCGTTCGTCACCGTTCTCAAACGGTGGCGCCACTTTCTTCTCGGCTGGCGGCGTTTCAAATGGAATACGGACAACAATCCGTTGACCTTTTATAAAACGCAAGACACGGTCACTAGCACGATCGGTCGATGGATGTATTACATCGACCAGTTCGATTTTGACCCGTGCCACATTCCCGGTCCCGCCAATCGAGCTGCGGACGCCCTCTCACGACGGCCCGACTTTTGTGCCCATGTGACCACGGCATTCGACCTCGATGACGATCTGCAGCAGCATTTCGTCAAAGGCTACAATTCCGATCCGACTTACTCGCAACTTTACGCGGAGCTTTCATCGGATCACCCGCCGGCTAGCCACTATCGGATTTCCGACGGGTTCCTTCTCCTTCACACGAGAGGAAAGGACTTGTTAGTTGTGCCCCAAAATCGCATCTTACGGACTCGTCTTCCCGGCGAATTCCACGACGCACGAGTTTCGGCACACCTTGGCGTGAACCGCACACTAGCACACCTCCGCTAGCGTTTTCACTGGCCCGACGTCCCTCACGACATCACGAGGTACATTGAGTCATGTGCAGTTTGCCACCGTAACAAGGGTCGATCTCGAGTCCCCTTCGGCGAACTGAAACCATTGCCGATCCCTCGGGCACCACGCCTCGCCACGGCCATGACGGTATTCTCACGGTCGCCACGACCATGACGGTATTCTCACGGTCGTTGACCGTTTGAGCAAGTATGCTCGCTTCCTTCCTTGCAAGTATCATGCTGCAGCGCGTGAGCTCGCACGACTCTTGCACACCGGTTGGATTACCAACCAAGGTGTTCCGGAAGACATAGTGAGCGACCGAGATACTCGTTTCATGTCAGCCTTTTGGACTTCCCTCATGGCTGAGTCCGGTACGACAATGAAACCGAGCTCGGCTCGGCACCCGCAGACGGATGGTCAGACGGAACGAGCGCACCAGACCACTCAGATGATGTTGSGTACGCTCATCCGYCCCGACCAGAAAGATTGGGTTGACCGGCTTCCCGACATCGAGTTCGCCTACAACACTTCGGTGCACSCGGCGATCTGCGTCACACCATTCGAGCTACATCATGGTGGAGAGAAAGCACGGATCTTCGCTGATCTCCTTTTGCCACAGGCTGCCGACATAGACGTCCCTTGCTCTCCCGCTTCCATCCGGAAGTACCGGGACTTGCTGATCAAAGCCCGCGCAAATATGCAAAAGGCTCAAATCCGCATGCAGCAGCAAGCTAACMGACGTCGACTTCCATGTCCYTTCCGCGAGGGAGACCTTGTTTGGGTCCTCTCCGAGGAATTTGCGCTCGAGCAGGATGTTTCGCGCAAACTCCTTCCGAAATGGTTCGGACCATGGGAAGTCACTTTTGCCGTTGGAGACGATCCCGCAGGCCCTTCCTTCGTGATCAACATTCCACCGCACCTGACAGTGCATCGGGTCTTCCACGCATCGAAGCTGGCCATCTACACGCCACCTTCAAATGACGAGTTTCCCGGACGTCGATCACAGGATCCGCCCTCCATGGACGGACATCAGGAAGTAGACCGAGTCCTCGCGCACCGCAAGTATGGCAACAAGCCAAGGCAGTACAAAGTCACATTCAAGCAATGTGCGCCTGATGACACTCGGTGGATCTCCAGTACAGATTTGCAGACTTCTGCACCCCTCATCTTCGCCGACTATGAGAAGCGACGCCTTTTTAAGGACGCAGCTCGTCCCGCCCGACCCACCCCGGTATCGGACAGACAACTTCGCCCTCGCAGGTAGCTCGGTCTTTTAAGAGGGGGAGTGTGTTACATCTTCGACGCCACACGGGTCCTACCGGACACGACTTAGGGCTAGAGGGACACACCAGGGCCTAAAGGCCCGACCTTGGGGTACTACAGGCCATAAAGGCCTCACCTTGGACCAGACCCGACGGGCAGGCCCAAACGACATTACCATTCGGGCCTGGCGGCGCTCTTGAGGCTGCCGCCCGCCGGTTGGGGCTGAACCGTCCATCGGGACGGTTCAGGGCACGGCCAGGCCTCGCAGCAGTGAGGCCGGCCTCTGCCCACCGGTATAAAGAACCGGTCCGGCCTCACTTCGGGGCATCGAACCACCGACACTCTACCGGTGCGTTATGGTCAGCGCCCGAGCGCTGTTTTGATGCGCTAAGTTTAGCGCAGGAGCGAGCAAGGAGCAGCAGCGGCAGCACAGCATTAGCGCAGCGGCAAGCGGAGCAGCAGCAGGGCGACTGAGCCAGCACGGCGGCCATTGCCGCCTGAGGTACCTGGGAGCGGAGGACCTCTCCTCCCTCCCTCGTCAGCTCTCTCTCTCTGTCTCTCTCTCCTCCTCCTCCTCCTTCTTCTTCCTCTTCTTCTTCTTCTTCTTCTTCTTCTTCTTCAGACTAGAGACTTATACTAGTTGGACAGAGATCAGTATTGGACTTCGGTGGTATGAGACTGTGGTACTTACCGGATTGGAGACTTGGAGATTGTTGGGGTTGATACTCGGCTGCATCACAGTTCGGACACCGGTTACATTTGGACTCTGTACCTCCGACATTGGTGACCTATTGTCCTCGACATTTTGATCTTGTTAGATGACATTTTGGACTACCATATCGGTGACCTATCAGATTCTATCTCGGTGACCTTCGGTGTTGTCTACCTCCCCACCTCCTTCGTCTCTCCTCCCACCTTTCATCTGTGAATGCGTGTATGGGATCTGGGCATCGTCTATGAATGGCCCAGACCCCACCATCTCACGATTGTATGTGTGTGGAGTGATGCTATGTGAGTCAGTCTATGTGAGTCAGTCCGTTTATCAGACTTCCGCTGCATATATGCTCATCCTACATTGGTTGATCTTTGGTTCTGCCCATACTCATTGAAGTATGCAACAGTATTGTAACCCCTAAACCATTTTAGCTACGTTGACACGATAGTCTGTGTTCTTCAAGAGTTTTGTGGCTGGTGCTCGACTTTGAAGGACCATTTTTTGTCGTTCAATAACTATAGATCGCAGTGATGATTTAAAAAAAGAAACAGTAACTGGCTCTCAGCATGTGAAGCTTGTATATTATCAAATACCTGACGGTTTTCCGTTCTTAATTTCTTAACTAGGAGAGGGTTTTTGATCGTGTGTACGTTCCTTGATATGAGGAGTACTTAAAAGTCTTTTTCATTGTGTCATGATATGTGAATCTCTCAGCGGATGGAGGAAAGCATATGCCAGCCTGCTTCAAAAGTTTTCTTGGGTACGTATGCTATAAATTGAGATGTGATTCCGAAAAAGCAAAAGCCCTGAGACATGATCAGGTATATATGTTCTTGTGAAGTGTGTGACTGTGTGTCTAGGACCAAGCCACAAATGCAGTCCATGTGCAATTCCATGCTGAACCTAGGTGATACACCTATTGTCTTCGTAGGTATGGAGGTAAACAAGCAGGAAATGAAAGCAGTACCCGGTGAGGCTCACGCCCGGACCTCTCATGGGTAGGTGCTGTGATAACATGACACCGATAAGGTTGAAGAACCAATTTGTGGGGTAGTTAATGCGTCTGGACTCCGGAATGAGGCTCAAAGGAATCACAGCAATTGAAGTCCTGGTCGAATGATCTTTGAGATGTTTCTGCAATGGGTTTTGACATAGGATGGTAGGCCTGCAATCTCCTTGCCACTTTCTCGACGCAGCCCTAGCTTGGTCACATTCGAATAGGCGAGCTCCAAGCGTCACACAAAAAGGTCAGCTTGGGTAGTCGTGTCTAGGGGTGTGTTCACGGTCAGAGACTCAATCAGTATGGTCCAAGTTGGTCCAGACCTGGAAGTGGAAGCTGATAGCTGACTTGTGCTTAAGGCAGATCTACCCATCCAAGAGACTCGATCAAGAGTGTAGCACATGCTTCGAGATGCATCCAGTCCAGACATCTTCAGCCTTTGCCTCCCACTGCACTATCGAGCATCCATCCATCCATCCATCCACAGGGGCGGGGAGGGGAGAGAGAGAGAGAGAGAGAGAGAGAGAGAGAGAGAGAGAGAGAGAGAGAGAGAGGCCACGGTGCAAATGAAACTGGTCATGAATACGGGGCCAGGTGCATCAGGGAGAGGTTTATGAGACAATGGTTTTCTGTTTTCATGCACAGAGAGAGAGAGAGAGAGAGAGAGAGAGAGAGAGAGAGAGAGAGAGAGAGAGAGAGAGAGAGAGAGAGAGAGAGAGAGAGAGAGAGNTGTGTGTGTGTGTGTGTGTGTGTGTGTCTCTCTCTATCTCTCGTCAAAACGAGAATGAATCTTCCGCGATCTCTCTCTCTCATATCAAAACGAGAATGAATCTTCTGTGGAAGATTCATTCTCGTTTTGATGAGAGAGAGAGAGAGAGAGAGAGAGAGAGAGAGAGAGAGAGAGAGAGAGAGAGAGAGAGAGAGAGAGAGAGAGAGGTCTGTTTTTCAGCAGTCATGGGTGGCAGAGAGGTCTGTTTTTCAGCAGTCATGGGTGGCAGTCACACTTTTGTTTTTGGAGGAAATTCAAGGAGAGGTTTGGCCCATGCTCATGAACAGGACATATGTAAGTTAAATATCCATTTTTGTTTATTAAACCTAGGCTTTGTTTCCATGCGCCCGGGCGCCCAACTTGTGCCCGGATACACGCCCGGGCATAACCCCTGAGCAGGGTTCCGGGCAGTCCCAGCGCTAAAAAGAAAAAAAAACAAAAAAAACAAGAAAAAACCGAAAAACAAGGAAAAAAAATTAAATAAAATTCCAGGAGGAAAAAATGTTGTGTAGAATTGCAATCCTATTTATACAAACGATTTTTGGCTGAGGGGCACATTCCTCACAGAATCGGAGATAAAAATGAAAATAACAGAATCACACTAGGGCACCCCCCTTTAAACCCCTTTATACCCCTCTTCCCCCCACTTGACAGCGACCTCTCAAAAAAAAAAAAAGAGACCGCATTTGGGGTCCTCAGGGAGAGCGCAGAAAATAAAAAAAAGATGAAAAGAAGTAAAATTATTTTTGGCATGCTCAGGTACCCCGGGCGTCAGACCCCCCCCGGACGTCACGCCCGGGTGCCCAGCCGGGCGAGACAATCTTCCCAGTATTGAACTTCATTTCCTCTTTTAACCTAGGCTACCAGCCGGGCCGCCCGGGTCCCGGGTGGCCAGCCCGTGCAAGGACAAGGGAGGGTCCCAGCAAAAAAAAAAAAAACATCCAAAAAATCCGAAAAAAAACTATGTTATGCAGAAAAATARACTGAACAACCTTTGCCTCAGGGTCACATCGAAATTCTTTACCAAATTTAAAATATAAAATAAAAATTTAAAATATTTCTTAGTTTTTTTATTTTTTAAATCTTTTTGGCCCGGCCGGGCAAGTTACCCCGGGCCACTCTGGTAGCCTAGCTTTTAACTTTCATCTTAATTGTACTATGGATTTGAAGGTAACTGTATAGCATTATTAATTTTGTTTTCTCAACTTTCAGAATGTTACAATCCTGGCCAATTTCGAATTCCAAATTCACAAGGAAATACAATGTCGTCCAATTGCAAAAAGGAATGAATGAAGTTGAGTGGAGGGAGAGATAAAAGAAGAAGAAGAAGAAGAAGAAGAAGAAGAAGATGTACACCAGCAAAAGACCAATGACAATTACCTCTTCTCTCGCCAGCCATCTCCTCCTACTTGTCTCCCCCTGTTATTCAAACAATAATAATGATAATAACGATGAATGACTGAACCAGAATCAATGTTTGAATCCCTCTTCTACTGCCAGCTAGACAAGAGGCCCACCATAGCCATGGCCACCCTCCTCTCTCTCTTCACCCAGGCCGAGGCTATGGCGGGCTACTAAGGGCCTTGCCCTGATGTGCGAAAGATGACGCAAAAGCAGCTGTCTTCTTCCTCTCAGGCCGCCATGCCTGACTCTGCCTCGAAGCCTCTTGATGCAGCGCTATCCCAACTGGGGCCTTGTAGATGCAGCGCCTACCAAGGTGATGAAGATGGCGTCCACCATAGCCAGGTAAGCACCTCTGGCGCTCCCCTCTCCTAGTCCCCTTCTTCCTCCTCCTCCTACCAGGCGCTGTCCACCATTGCCAAGGTGGAGGCCCTGGTGCTCTTCCCCCCAGTGCTGCACACTAGCCCTTTCCACTAGGCACTCCAGCAGCGTGACGCCCAAGCTTGCATGCAGCAAAATGAGGAGCAACTCGCTCCTCCTGGAAATATACTGGGCAACCAGCCGCCCAGCCTCACGGCTGGTTGCTTCGACACGAGGCACTCAATGCCTCATGGCCTCCACGCCACCGGTACCTCCTCCTCTTGGATGGAAACATCCTTGCCTGCTCTGACATCGTGCGCACAGGCCCTAGACTCAGGCTACTTAGACTGGTACCCGTCTAGCACCTTTGACCAGAGTTGATCACACGTCAGCGCATTCATCTCAAAGTCCTACAAAAACACTCAGAGCTTGAGCATCGGCTCATCTTGGTAAATATTAGTTTGCCAATCCCATAACTGTGTGCACTCATTTCGAACTCGTTCAAAAGCACTCAGGAGTCTGAACTACACAATATTAGAGCCGACTCCTGCTCGCCTGGCCACAGATACAAGGCAGGGGCAGAGCAGATGTACATCCTTCTGAAGAGGAAGCAATTGATTCCCTGTGTCTCAGGGCCTCTCGGCCATAATGGGGAGGAGCGTTGGGTGAGTATTATTGATGTGAGATACGATTGACCCGGCCAGCTGTTACAATAAAAAGGAATTTTTCTGATTTTATATGGAAAAAAAAACAATATCACAGCTTGGGGATCTATTCAGTTTGCTGATATCAGGTTGCCTATCCTTGAATCCGTGACCTGTTCTTCTCTGTGCTGCTGTAGCAGGGGCTCAGTTGAGCAGGCTTGTTGTGATCATCCACACCCGCTTTGTCAGTACCCCCCTGGCACAGGTTTGGGGGCTTTGGTCCCAGGTGGCCTAAGGGAAGGAGAAAATGGAAAGTCTGCGAGATTCAGGCTCGGAGCGGAGTGGGCCACCGGAAATTCAACAAGTGGTCGCTGATCCTTCTCCTGTTGACCCTGGGAAAGTTGACCAAATGAAAGGCGAGAGAATTGTGGTGTATGTGGAGGTGGTGCCACTGAAACCAAAACATGCATATGCTCTCAAGCATGCATTGCGGCTCTGTCAGACAGATCGGGGAGACACTCTCACGCTCCTTCATGTCCTGTCGCTTTTCAAGAAAAACCCTGCGATTGGTAGAGGTGAGTGTCTGTTTCGCTTCATCATGACTTTGCAAAGTTTGCTTCTTCGTTCTGATTCTCTGTGTATGTATTTGTGTGTGCGTGTATGTGTTCCTGTCTGAAAATGCTTTGTCAAAGAACAACAATTTAATTTAAACTTTTGATTTGGTCACAGTGTCACACCGATTATCGGTGTCCCCTGACCCATCAGGGGCCGAGCAGCTGACCGGTTGACGGATCAGGGGGGTGTTGGCCCCCCGCAACAGCCCAAGCATTTTTTTTTGTTTCTTCTTCTTCTTGTTCACCGCCGTCTTCTTCTTCTTCTTCTTCTTCTTCTTCTTCTTCTTCTTCTCCTCCTCCTCCTCCACTACAGTGTTTTTGAAGCAACCTTGTATGCCTTGAAATTCTGCTTCTTATAGAGCCGTCGCCTGCCTGATTCAGCTGAGTAGTGCTCGAGTTGCTGTTGATACAGCTTTTCCCCAGTTGTCCGTGACATCACACAAAAATTATTTTCTAATTTTCAATGGTGAAATCCTCAAAGAATCAAGATCTGAAATTCTGCATGGTGACTTGGGTTGCCTTGTATCCTCTACTCATGCAGCTCGATCGACAAGGGACAGCTCCAGTCGGAAGCTACTCATCTTAATTAGTTTTTCAATCAAGGATATATTATTATATTGGAAACATCGCGGGACTACTTTTTCACTTTGCAACAGCGAAAAATTCATAGAATCAAGATCACGATGGTGAATAGGGTTGCGTTTGCATCCCCAACCACCTCATCCAGCTCGATCAGTAAGAGCCAACTCCAGTCCGAGGCTACTTACCGTAACTAGTTTTTCCATCATGGATGTACAGGAAACTGTGCGGGATTACTTCTAAACTTTGCAACGGTGAAAAGTTGATGAAATGAAGACCTTAACAGTCAATAGGGTTGCCTTTGCATCCCCTACCACATCATGCAGCTCGATCGACAAGGGACAGCTTCAGTCTGAAGCTAGTAGGGAAAACGCGCAGTACTCCATTTTTACTTTGCAGCGACCAAAATTTTCATAGAATCAAGATCTGAATGGGGTTGCCTTTGCATCCCCCCCAACCTCATGCTGCCCGACTGACAGGAGACATCATGCTGTCTGAAGCTACTCTCCCTAATTAGTTTCCAAATACCGGCCCCTCCTTGAAACAGCAGTTTCTTAGCAGATGTGGGCTGTACATGGTAAGCGCAGTACAGCATTGCTCTCAGATTTCAAAAATTCTCAGCCGATGGTCTGCCAACTGGTCCCCCTCACCAGGTGGATGGGGACCAGCTGGTTGTCATCGTCCGCCATCAGCTGGTTTGATACCCTGCTTTTATAGTGAATCCCTTACGCAAATGAAGTGTAGATTGTCGACTGAGGCAAGCACAAAGTGGTGCAATCTGCAGCATATGCCATTATACATGCATTGCTAGTTTCTCTATCTAGCAAGCTCACTTGCAATGCAAGGCCGCCTTGGCTTGAATGCCTGTAGCCTTCGTGCCGCCACAAGGTTCACACTAGTTGGTCATAAACTGGTTGCGTAAAGGCGCAGTGCGAGGTGGGATGTGTGCAGTGCGTATGGCGCACAGGGTGCGTGTGTGATGTGGAGTGCATGAGTGTGATGTGCGGTGTGCACCATGCACTAATCGTGCAGGGCGGGTGCATTCGATTGCTGCTCTGTGCACAGGAGATATGGGCAGCAGGAGAGTAGCAGCACAGCAGTAGACAACAGCTGCAGTGGCAGAGGAGCAGCAGCAGTGGCAGAGGAGCAGTAGCAGTCCGCAGCAGAGGAGCAGCAGTCTACAGCAGAGGAGCAGCAGCAGCAGAGGAACAGAAGTGACCAGCAGCAAAGGAGTGTCACTGCTGTATGTTTCAGTGTGAACAGTCTGAGAGAATGATGAGAACAGCATTCTGTCCATCTCCTCAAGAGCAATTTTCAAATAGCGTGTTGTGCACCCAGCACAATTAATGCCCTGTCAGCCTTCTTCACCATCCTCCCTGCACGTACACAGAGATGGTCATTAAGGCCTTGCTCTTGCTGTCGATCTCTTTGATTGCACTGTCCAAGATCTAGAAGTCCCCCTCTTTCTTGCCTCTCCACTCCATGCAGACATACTTCCAAAAGTTTGTGCCCATGGGAGAGGACGGCATGACATTGATGCCTGGCTGGTTGTGTTTATTGGACCAACCATCCACCTGAAACCATGCAGGCAATCCTCTCCAGTTTCTGCACTGTGGCGCTCACTCGCTTCCATGGCCAGTTGGGTTATGCTTCCACCCCCTGCAATCTCCCCTCGTGGTACTCCCACAAGTGATGAGCATTCTTCGTCCTGTGATGGAGCCTTGTAAACCACTGTTTGTTCAGCATATTGAGAGACTGGTTTGCGCAGGTCAAGGAGTGGAGCCATTGCAAGTGGACTTCAATCACACTCTGCTTCTACATGATAGGTGCCGTGGAACATGCAATGAATGTTGGTGGTTGCGCGGACATCTATGTCGTGGGCTGAAGCCACTTCCTTCCCTTATGCAATCCCCTCTTCGACCAGGCTGCTCACGGAGCAAAAGCTGTTTTCCCCCGTCCTTGAAGCACTGTTCCTATGCATATCCGCCTCTGTGCAGCGAATGCCTTCAGCCGGCCTGACTCTCTCTTCCACCGTCAGCACTTCTGGGAGTGCAACATGAACATGAAGGTTGCCTTGCAGTGGTGGCATTTCCAATGCCACGGCCCCTTTGACATATCCCTCCCTGCATCCCAACATTCCTCCCTCTCTCCCTCCCTCCTCCCCCCCCCCAAGCTTGCCTCCCTGCCTCCCTCCTTGCCTCCTTGCCTCGCTGCCCTGTTCTGCATTCCTGCTTCCCTCCTTGTGTCCTGCCTGTGTGCCTCCCTTTGTGCATCCCTCCCTCCTCCCTCCGTTTCCCTCTCACCCTCCCTCTCCCTCCCTTCCCCCCTGCTTCCCTGAATCCCTCTCTTCCCCTGGCCTTCTTGCGTTGCAGTGCATTCCTGCTTCTGTCCCTCCCTTCTCCCCTGCTTCCTGTCCTCCCTTGCTGCCTCCCTACCTTCCTCTTCCTTACTGTCTCCCCTGCTTCCATCTTCTGTGCCTCCCTGCTCACCCTCCTGCCTCCTTGCCTCCCTGTTTACCTGTCTGCTTCCTTCCCTCCCTCCCTCTGTCCCTCCCTACCTTCCCCCCCTCTGTGGATCCGTGCCTGCCTCTTGGCCTGTCCCACCCCTCCCCCTATCTCTTCCTCTCTGCCCCCACGAGTGCCTCCCTCTATACTCCCTTCGCCCTCTCCCTCCAGGTCTCCCCGTCCCTCCTATCCTTTCTCCTCTGCTGCCTCCCTCCCTGCTCTGCTTGCTTGCACCCTCTCTTCTCTTCTCGCTTCCCTCAAGAGTCTCTCCTTTCCTCCCTCTTCCATCCTTTACTCTTTCCTTCTGTCATCTCTCCCTTTCTTCCTCCCATCTTGGCTGTCTTTTCTCTCCCTCTATTCCTCCTGCCTCCCTTCCTTCCTCTGCTCATCCGTCCCCCGTTCACTCGATTTCTTTCCCACTCCTCTCTCAATCCGCTTGTCCTTCCATTCGCACTCCCCTACCTCCTTTCCTCCTCTTTCCTCTATACTCTCCTCTCTTCCTGCCTTCCTTGTATCCTTCCTTTGTCTTACAGACACTGAATGTTCCTGGCCGGTTTCCATTAAGGGGTCCCGCGGTCAGCTATTGTGGGGCCTGCCAACAGCCGGCATTACTCTCTTCCTCCGTCCCTCCTGCCTCTAATCCTTCCTCTGCCCATCCCTCTCTTCTTCCTCTATTCCTTCCCACTCCTCTTTCCCTTCCCTCTGTCCATTTGTTCTTTCCCCTCTACCTCCCTTCCTCCCCTTTTGCTCTATACCTCTCTACCTGCCTCCCTTGGTTCCTCTTTCGTCCGCCACACTGTCAGCTGCTGAATGCTCTCTATGGAGGGCTACCGTCCTCACCCGAATAGAACGCCCGGTCATTATAGCTGTATTTGGCACAACTTTCAGCCCAGATATGGCAATAATTACCGGGCGTTTTATTCGGGTGAAGACGGTAGTGTGGCCGGCTGGTCAGGGACCTGACAACAGCTGGTATGAACCATGGTGATGGCGCTAAAGGGAGGATTTTTGTGACGGGTGTGAGGCTGAGGGAGAGCCAAGGGAGAGGAGAGAGAGAGGAAGAGAGTGAGAGCACACACACACACTCACTCACTCAACACGACTGAGGGTCGGACGCAGACACAGTGGCAAGGCACAAAGTCGAAGTCTTGGATTCCGAATGCCGAAACAGCAAGTCACACTGAGTACGAGTACAGCAGCAGAAAACTGGTACGAGACTGGTCCCCGTACCGTACGGGGAGCCGGTATAAGTACCGGTGACACGTACGGTACCAGGGGCATTTCTGCAAAGGCCCCGAGGGCAGAACTGAAAAACGTGGTATTTGAAAGTGGTGCCTGAATTGCAGCATGACGCCAGTTGTACAAAATCCTACGGTACCAAAGGAGGGGTTTGGAAAAAGGGTGCCAGGCCGAAAACGGGATGCAGCCAAAACAGCAAAAAGATAGACCAGGGATCGAGCCCTGGCGGAGTCCGTAACACTATCCCCTCCCTCTAGAAGGCAACGTCCCGGCTGCCAAAAATCATGAAGCAATGCTGAAATCTGTGAAGGACGGGACGGGGCCGATCACTGGTTAACAAGTCGAAAGGGAAGAGGGGTATAATGTGGGTGGCATGGGCTGCGGGAGTAAGAGGGAACAGGGTTTGGTAACGGTGAACAGGGTTGTCCTACTGATGAACTAGGGGGGGTTGCAGGGAACAGGGTAGTCCTACAAATGAACTAAAGGGACGGCAGGGAGCAGGGTAGTCCTACTGATGAACTAAGGGGACTGCATGGTTTGCTATAGGTTAAGGGGAAACATAGTTCAGGGAACAGGGAACTTCTATTGATGTTCTACTGGGTAAGGGAAACGGTGTTCAGGAAAACAGGGTATTTCTAT